GTGTCACGAAACAGAATCCTGGATAGAATTACTATCAACAGTCCTGCTAGGCTTACGAACGTGTTTTAAGGAAAATTTACAAACTTAAGCTGCTAAGATGCTGTATGGTTCCCCGATTCGACTACCAAACGAGTTTTTTGAGGACGACCAACAATGCAACAGCCCGCAGATGTTCATAGAGGAGTTTCGCAAACACATGCGATTAGTGCGACCAATTCCCACAGCACATCACCGGAACAATGTTTCATTTGTGTTGAAAAACCTCTACAACTGCTCACACGTCCTGCTTAGAACTGATTCTGTTCATCGCCCATTGGAGCCACCGTACACTGGACCATTTAAGGTACTCAGTAGACCAACGGACCGCAGTTTCGTAATTGAGATCCAGGGAAAAGAGACTACAGTTTCAGCAGAAAGGCTCAAACCTGCTTTTATTACTAAAAAAGCAGTTGTGAAGGAGGTGACGAAGAACCTACACACATACATAAAGAGAAACCAGGTGAGGTTTTCACAGTAGACAATACTGGAAGGAGGGTACTGTGACAACAGTACAACAAGTATGGCAACCCAAAAAAATATAAAATTGTCACTCTTGATGAAAACAAGACACCTGGCAATGCTGAAAATATAAAACACATGTAATGATTAATTGTTAAGGTTCGGTGAGAAAAGCAGAATTGTATTTTATTAAGTAATTGTATATTAAGAATAAAAATAGTCAATAATAACGACCAGAACTGTATTTTAAAGTAAATCAAAAAGAACGGAAGCTCATTGTATGTTGAAAGAAATTTACTTAGTAAGGTTAATTCACTAAGTAAGCAGTGGAAACGTACTACACCCGTTCAAATATAATAGTTAAGCAAAATAAATCTAAAAAATATAATCGATGTTCAAATATTAATCTCTATCTATCATAAACTCCTCAATTTCTTAAATTAGTAATACCTGTTAAAACAATTTCTATATGAGCAACAGAAGAATCAATGATTTTAAATCAACTTGACGTAAACAATTTAATCTAACTAAAATCTCTCCAATCAAAGGAATTCTGATAAATATGTGATTAAATGTTTAACAAACAAATGAAATAAAAGAAAATCAAAAAGGTTTAAATTATTTAAAAATACAATAATTTATAATTAAATATATAATTACTCAAAAAATAAAAAATTCAAATTTCCTAATTTTTCAATAAAATATAAAATAAAAGATTGCACATACTCAAAATCTCAACAAAATAATTCCATAAGAAATCAAATCACATTCAAAAAGCAAAAAATAGATATACAACAGTTTCTATAAATATTAAATAAAATTAATAAAACTCAAAAAATAATATCTTTTAAACTATTTAAAATATATTATTAAAATAAATATGTTTAAAATATATTATTAAACAAAACAAAAACGGACCAAAGCGCCAACAAAACAATATAAATTAAAACAATACAAAATTCTAAGGAATTGAATATTATTATGATTTGTACGAATACAATTTTATTGTATGAATAAACGTTTACTGTATGAACAAAACTTTTAAATACTGAATATTGAATTACAATACTAAATATAATGCAATTAATTTATTGTAACAATATAAGGTTAGATGAGCCCTGCTCTTGCTATTTTACTTCTTCTTTTTTGCTCGTCTAAATTACAACTTCTTGTGAAAGTAAAGTTTGTGTGTGTCCTACAACTGTTGCCTTTGACAGATGTCATTGACCGTGTTTGCCAGACCTTTCCAGAATTTGACGGCTGTTTAACGGTAAATTCTTTTTTTTTGTTGTGGTTACAATTATGTTGTACATTGCTTTGGAAATAGCACCACTCTTCTTTTTCGGGTCACCTTCGATGTATGTTGAACGCAGTCGCCGTTTGGTTCTTGCACTCGTTCTCTAGTAAGGCTTTCACCGGTTTAGTACGCAATATATGTTTGTCTCACGCAATTCATACTTACGTTTACTGACCGTCCTTTCGCACTTATTGTTAAGGTTTTCTCGCTGCGACTTATTGTTTCATACGGACTCTCGTATGGCTGCTTCAGTGGTGGACCTACAGCATCGTCTCGTAGGAATATGTGTGTACTGTTTTTTAAGTCCTTATAAACAAACGGTTTTTTCTCAATATGACGTGATGTTTCAGCTTGTGCATCGTTGCTTTTAATACCTCCACCAACTCCGTTTGCGGTACTTGTTTCCCTTCGACATCGAACATTTCTCCCGGTATGCGTATGTTTGTGCCATAAACCAGCTCCGACGGTGTAAGTTCTCTTTATATGCTGATCTTAGCCCCATTATCACTAACGGCAAAGCCTTCGTCCATTTTTTAGTAGGCATACACCTCAGAGCAGTTTTTAAGGTGCGGTGAAAATTTCCACTAGCCCATTTTCCTGAGGATGGTATGCGGTAGTTCAATGCCTTTCGCACCCCAACATTTTTGCTACCTCCTCGAATAGTTTGGACTCAAACTGCCGTTCTTGATCTGCAGTAATTCTTTTTGGCTCGCCATAATGTACTATCCAATCTTTTATTAAGCAACATTCAGCAATATTTTCTGCAGTTATCTCCGCCAACGGTACTGCAACGGGCCATCTTGAGAACCTGTCGATGCATTTTAGGCAATACCGCATGCCATTGCAGAAGGGTAATGGTCCCACGATATCAATATATTGCGCTCAAAACTTTTGCGCCTATTGTGTCGTTGAATTTTTGATATTTGGTATGCAATACATATTTTTGCCATTTTATTTATTTCAACCTTCATTTTGGACTAACAAAACCGATCACTTATTGACATCATCTGGAGGTAGATTCACCAACTTGAATTCCAGGGAAGAATCTGTACGATTTTTTAACAATTCATTCAGCTCCTTCTCAGTTTTTTGCGCTTCTGCCAATTTACCGTAGTGTAGTACTCGTCTGGATTCAGTTACTACACTTTCAAGTAGTGCTGAATGTCTGTTGTCAGCTACCCGATGAAATCCAAATGAGGTTGTTGGAAATGTATAATCATAATTGAATAGTAGGCTATTCTTATTTGATTAATTGTATTTATTATTATTATTATTATTGAGTAAGGGATCGTGCACTGCGACCTAAAAGATCTATTGTGCCCCTTTGTCGGGTTAGAGTATTTCTCCAAGTCCGATTTCTTTAATGAAAGACAGTATGGATCCTATCTTCCCCAGTCTTGAATCCTTATGATCCATGAAATACCCTCCTAGGTGTTTCTTTCGCTTATGCATCAGTGCCGGGCACTCCCCAAGCACATGGTATGCCGTTTCTCTCTCTTCCCTGCAGTATCTGCAGTCTGAGTTGGATTGAATTCCTAACTTCGATAGGTGATTATTCAATCTGCAGTGACCGGTCAGTAATCCCGTAATAATTCTTATGTTAGTTTTTGATTGTACTATGCAATCTTTAAAGCGTTTTAGGTTGTAAGTCTCTAAAAGCATTTTAGATTGTGAGAGTCTTGGTAGCATTAAGCAATAGAGTTCTCTCTCCTTTTTCTCTGCGTCATTCATGATGATGGATAGAGCTCCTTTGCCTAGACCACAGAATGGCTCTGGGCCTATCATTCTTGATGCCGCGCCTCTTCTTGCAAGTTTGTCTGCCATTTCATTACTCTGGATACCAGTATGTCCCGGAATCCATAAAAGGTGCACCTGATTGATCCCACCGAGTGTGTTCAGCTTGTCAATGCATTTCCATACCAGTTTGGATGTTACCTGGTAAGATATGAGTGCCATTATAGCTGCCTGGCTGTCAGTCAGTATTGCAATTTTACGGTTCCGGTAGTTACGTTCAAGATTGAAACTGGCGCATCTATCTATCGCGTATATTTCCGCTTGAAAGATGGTTGTATTGTTTCCTAATGCTTCCCAGATTTTTTGCCTGGTCCATAAACACCAGCTCCAGCTCCCTCATTGGTGAGAGAGCTGTCTGTATACTATGTTATCATGGTTTCTTTTATTTTTGGGATGTTAGACAAACCTTCCCAGTTCTTTTTGTTGCTGAGTTCAGTTTTAAAGTTTTTTGTAAAGTTATGCTTTACAATCATCCTGTCCATTGGCATTTTAATTTCTGGGATTTGTGCAGCCAAAGTATCAAGTTTTTTGCTGTTGGTTTCAAGACCAGTCACTTTGTTTGTAGTTACTCTTAGAGCAGCCCTCTTCGCCTGTGATTGCACATAGATATGAAGAGGAGTGAGTTCCAGGAGTACTTCAATTGATGACGTGGGACATGTTCACATTGCTCCTGTTATGCTTACACATGCAAGTCGTTGTACCTTGTTGAGTGTGTTGATAACGCTTTGTTGATTTGTGCAGTTCTGCCAGACTATTGATCCGTAGGTGATCATTGGTCTGATTACTGCTGTGTATATCCATCGCAGTGACTTTGGTGTACATCCCCAATTCTTACCTGCGATGGATCTACATGTCATAAAGGCTTTGGTTGCCTTTTTTGTCACTTCTTGGATATGAGATTTCCATGTTAATTTTTGGTCTAAAATTATACCCAAAAATTTTACCTCCTTTTGTAGTTTTATTTCAAACCCATCTAAGCGGATGGGTTTAAGGTTTTTTATTTTGTATTTCTTAGTGAATAGCACAATGTTTGTTTTTGCTGGATTTATTTTCAGCCCAACCGAATTGCACCATTCTTTAGTTAGTTTTAAGCCTAACTGGATTCTTTCGCACAGAGTATTCTCAAATTTTCCTCTGCAGATAATTACCACATCATCGGCGTACCCCTGGATTTGGAAGCCATTCCTGTCCAGTTTTACCAATAGTTCAGCCACTACCATACTCCACATAAGGGGTGATAATACTCCACCTTGTGGGCACCCTCGCGAAGTATTTGCAAAAATATTACCATTACTGGTCGGAATTTCTACTCTCCTGGTGCGAAGCATCTTGCTCATCCAGCGTGAGAGTGTGCCATTGATTCCTCTTTTAGAAATAGTTGAATCTTCTGCGTTTAGAGGCCCTAATTTCTCTATTGTACAAAGTAAGTTTTTTTCCTATATTCTGACCAGTCTCCTGTTCGCTTTGAGTAATTAAAAAGTCCTCTAACAGTGTTTCTTAGGTTTTTAAGGTCATTGTTCCACCAAGGCACATCCTTGGTGGAGTTAATCAGGCTTAATGGACAACTATCCTCATATGCATTTAGTATGGCACCATTAAGGTTTTCTAGGTAATTTTCTAATTGAATTTCATTCTGAATGATTTCATCTAGCCCTAATTGGACAAGATTGTATTTCAGATTTTCCGTGTAGTTCTCCCAATTTGTTTTTCTTGGGTTCCTTAAAATTTTCTTGTTAATTGGTGAACCTTCAATGTCGAACCTTAGAATTCTATGATCAGACATAGATGGTTCACTGGATACTCTCCAGTTTTTCACAAGCTCACAACCTCGAGTGTTTCCAATAGTAATATCTAGGACCTCTTTGCGTGAGATAGTTACAAATGTTGGTGTATTACCTACATTACATATTTCTAATTTTTTACTAGTTATAAATTCTAAAAGGTACTCACCTCTTATATTGGTTTTAGTGCTTCCCCAAACTTCGTTGTGTGCATTGGAGTCGCAACCGAGCATAAGTGGCAATTTTATTCTCTCGCAGTAGTTTACCAGTTTATCGACCTCTGCAGATGGTACCTGAGTGTCGTCTCCTGGTAGATAACCTGTAGCTACGACTACGTTCCGTAGAACTCCGTTGATGTTAGCCGGAATCTGTATGGCAACGAGGTCCCTGCAGAGAAATTCTGAAAGACAGATAAAGTTGATATTAATATTCAATAAAATGCAGGTTCTTGGTTTATCACATCTTACATCCCAAATTGTCTGCATATTCTTTGCAGTCAAACCACAGATTCGACCCCTGTAAATCCAGGGTTCTTGGACCAGCACTATGCTCAGGTTCGATTTGTGCGTAGCCCTTGCAATAACTGCCGACGCAGCTTTTGCATGGTGGATATTTATTTGGGCGATTCTAGTGCTGGTCATCAGGTGGTTATTCCTCCTTCGTTTCTTCTATCAGACCGTCGTCGATGTCTGACAGAAATATTCTTTCGGAGTCTTCCTCGGACGCCAAGTTCAGTAGAGAAAGATCTAGATTCTCAATGTCCTCACTCTCGTGAGGTAGCACGCTGATATCTTCAATCTTCTCGCTTCTGGTCGCCTCCTCCTCCACTAGTTCCGCAACAGTTGCAGGTATCGTTCCTACAGCTGGTGTATTTTCCCCAGCTAAGTTACTTCTTTCCTTGTTGTCTCGTCCCTTATGCAGGTGAATTGGGACGGAGCTGAACCTGTAGAAGATCCTACAGCCGTTGGTTGTAATGGCTTCCTGAGACCGGTTGTCAATCCCGATTGTTAGGAGTTTGCCATTTTTCAGATCCTTGCTGCTAAAAACTCTCCACAGCTGAGTATGTAGACCCTCATTTTGAGTTATGTGCAGTTTTAGCAGCTTTTCCGTGTCGACCCCTTTAGCTCTTGGGAGGTAGACTGTCAACATGTGTAATTTCGGTATTTTGTCTCCGACACACGTGGTGAGTTCGGCGCCTTCCCATCCGTTCAGCTTAGGTGCCGTTCCATGGATAAAATTAGCCGCATCCTCGTCTACGCAGTCAACCAGTATAAGTCCTGGTTGAAAGTGTATCCCGCTAAATCGTAGCTTGGCATCCCATCCTTTATACATCTCCTCAATGAGAAGTTCCTCGATTTTACCTTGCTCCTCCCTAGAGAGAGTTGATTCCGGGTAAGATTTCGGAAGAATTGCTATTCTTAAGCTCTTGGCTACATTAGCGTAACTGCTGCCCGATATTATTTTTCTCGGTTGTTTTGGTGCAGCCATTTGCGTACCATCCTTTGCTTGTGGAGGTTTCTCATTCCCTCTTCTTTTCTTAGCTGATTGAAGATCGATCGGACTAATTTCTTGGGCAGAACTCTTCTTAGAGTCTTAATTGGCCATCGGCCGATTGAGCGCCTTTTCCTTGGCTGCCTCCGGTGCTAAGCTTTCTTTGAGATAGCGCCATTTTGTACCCGCACCGCTCAAACCAGTAGATTTCCTGGCGTCGCGAAAGCTTTGGCCGGAGGTTAGTCCAGTGCTTGTCGAGGGCTGTGGTAGTGTTTCGATCGTTGCATCTTTTGGTGCAACCTTTGAACCCAGACTTCCTTGACTTCCTTTTCGTAACTAAGTTCCGTTTTTGATTCAGTTGACAGAGAGCTAGTATTGTTCCTGGCTTCTTTGCCCTCTGTACTTTTTTCCGCTTTCCGTTTTGGAAAGGCTGCCTGGCGATCGGTATGTTGGATATCAGGCTCCGACCGATTTACCAGTTTATTTGCAGTGTGTGTTCCTGCTGGTTTTTTTATATTGCTATTATTAGCTGCGTTTCAGCAAACATGATCCGCTCAATGATCTGAATCATCTTTGCTGAAACGATACGGATCACGTTTGAAAATAATTGGCAACGCATGAAATATGCCAGTTGAGAACATTTGTGAAGTGAGAACATTTTGAATACAAAAAATCTAAAAAATGGAAAATAAATAAAATCTGTTGAAATGTCTGAAGTATGAAATGTAAGTTTTTATTTAGTATTTACTTAAAAACTTAAATTTAATTCTATAGTAAATAAATGGAAATTGCAGATTTTATTAGAATTATCGAGCAAAACTGACTTCTCCATTTTCTTTTTAAACACTAGTCCAAGTGTATTAAGCTCAAGGGATGAAGTGCATCAGCATGGATATACTGGAAATTTTATGGAAACGATCAATAATTGTTCCGTTAAAGATTATTTGATTGATATTTACGCATAAAAAATACAATTGCTATATATTAATTATGTTTCATATTTTAATAGATTTGTTAATAAAATCCAAATTGGTATTTGTTTTGGCATACCAAAAGCTTCTGTATGGAGAATAATTAAAAGAACTAGTGTTTAGCTTATATCAATTGCAAAATTTCCGTTCGTGATTGACAGCACACATGTTAAAATAAATGCACCTCACCAAAGCAATTAGGCTTATTTCAAAAGGAAGCATGAATATAGCTTAAACTTGCAAGCAGTTTGCAATGGTTTTTTTATAAACGTGTATGTTGGAGAGCCTGTTTCCTTATGTATTGTTCTGTTTTAATTAAATAAATGTATTCAACTTAATGTTTATATATTCATTTCAAATTAATTAATTTTAATAAATTATCAAACAACACTTTTTTAATAATATTAAAACGTAAATAATTAAAGTAATAATTTTAATTAATTTTAATAATTTTAATTTATAGTAATAGTAATAATTAAAACATTACTTCAAACAAAGAAATAAATAATAATGACATATTAAATAAATAAGTACATAAAATAGTTAATAAATAAATAAAATCAATAATAAATAAATATAAATGTAGATTTGTTTATAATTTTACTGCACCGTTGCATCGCATTGCCAACCTCATTTGCATTAAAATACGTTCCACTTTTATCTTTTACACACATTCCACATTGAACCAGAAAGTGAACCAGATCAATTGCTGGTTCACCCCATTGTTTTTGTCTTGCATGTAAAATTGAGCGGATCATGTTTGCTGAAACGCAGCTATTGTTATTTGAATTATGTTCCATTAAATTCCCACGAGTTTGGGGGAAAGGAGGTCCGCCGTGTCATAGCCCCCGATAATACGGTAAGCCCACAGTTACTCAATGAGGCGGGCAGGTATCATTGAGGTGCGACGCTAAAATACAGTCTGTTACCCCCGACTGCAAACAAGTCCGATGAACACGTGCAAATTCCGGATTGGGAGGGAAAATGGAGGCGGAGAGGGATATGGGTATTGAAATGTTGATAGTAGGGAATATTTAGGAATGGGAAGGTACGGGTTTAGCTCGCATTAGCCGCTATAAGCGTTACCAGGGATCACTACGCGGAGGCCCTCCTTTCGAAGGGGGTGAGTACTTGGGATTAGTCTCACCTGCGAGTCCGTCTAGTGAAATACTAGGATCCCCAATTGTATTTAACATTTGTAAAAATTTAGAAATAAATTGACTTTTGACTTCCGATAAGAATGAAGTTAAATTGTAAAAACACAAATTAACAGTTGGCGACGAGGAAATGGATGCTCAGGCACTCGCGACAGTTCCAAGAGAATTCTCATTAGCAAATCAAAAATTTTTTGAGAAAATATTAAACAAAAATGAAGAAGTATTGAGAAGCGTGATAAACGAGAAAAAATCCGCTAATTCAACTCCAACCTTCCGACGGTTTGAGAAAAATGTTGAAAAGTGGTCGGTGTATATTCAGCAGATGCATCAACATTTTGTGGCACATCAAGTGAAAGAAGATGTATTAAAACGAGCATGTTTCCTTTCGTGGATAGGTACAGAGACCTTTGAACTTATTCAAAAGTTATGTGACAACAATATAGAGAATAAGTCTTTTGGTGAACTACTAGCAAAATTGGATAATCATTTTGTGGAAAAACAGCATATATTAGCAGCACGTTTTAAATTTCATTCAATACGAATGAAAGCAAATCAATCATATGCTGAGTGGGTGGCAGAACTGCGTGGTGCGGCTAAAGAGTGCATGTTCCTATGTACGAGTGAAACTTGCCAGCAATCGTTTATAGATAATTGTATACGAGATATGGTTGTAATACACACACCACACGATAAAGTCCGTAGTGCCGCGTTGCAGAAAACAACAAAACAAACCCATCGCTAGAGGAAGTACTGCAGATAGCAGCAATATATGAAGCAACGGTTAAAACTTGTAACGAAATTAGAGGTGAAGAAATCAGTCAAACAGTTAATGAAGTTAATCACAGTTCAAGTAAGAAAGTTAAACAGAATCGAAGTAATATTAAGTCCCGAAATTCAGTGAAGGGAGGACAATCGTGTCCAGGTTGTGGGAAAGCACATCAAAGAAATCAATGTTATCATTACAAGAACAAAACAAAGTGTCGGTTATGTACAAAGCAAGGTCATATTGCTGCAGTTTGTCAATCAGCAGTGACAGGGATTCAGCAGAATTCTAATTTTAAGGTTCGAAGACAGGAACAAAATAGAGCAAGAGATGTGTATTCTATGAGTGATGTTTCATTTGAGTCAATTAATGCGAATGAAACAACGGAAGTTAAATCAGTTGATTCGCAACTTAGTTCATCTAAAATTTTCGTTGACCTCAATATAAATAACGAAATTTTAACATTTTAAGTAGATACTGGTGCAACATGTTCCTTAATTGGTTTGGCGGCATATAAACAACTGGGTAGACCTTGTTGTGGGCCTACGAATAAAGTTCTGAGAGCGTATGGAGGAGCTGTTATTTTTCTTAAGGGTTCTCTCAGAGTATATGTCAAGTATGGAAATATTACTCGAAGCCTTGAGATTCTTGTAGTTAACGATGAATATGTTACTAACATACTGGGATTGGATTTGTTTACAGTATTAAATTTCAAACTGCAGTTACCTGTTATTGAATGTTATGCAAATAATCCTTGTGGATCAAAGATTATTTGTGAACAAAGTTTAACCGCATCTCTACATGAACTCAGATGTCAACATGCTAACATTTTTTCTTCGAAATTGGGGCGTTGTACGTTGTTCAAAGCTGAAATCAGATTGAAGTCAGATGCTAAGCCTAAATTCTTTAAACCATACAATCTGCCGTTTGCGAAAAGAGAAGACGTTCGCATCGAAATTGATCGGTTGGTAAATATTGGAGTTTTGAAAGCTATCAGAAGCAGCGTCTGGGCCGCTCCTACAGTTGTAGTGTCAAAGCCAAATGGGAAATTACGTATTTGTGCAGATTTCAGAATTGGTGTGAACTCGCAAATTGAGAATGACAGGTATCCAATTCCTAGAGTTGAGGAACTTTTTTATAAACTTCAAGGAGGACAATTTTTCACAAAAATTGATCTTAGTGAAGCGTACTTGCAAGTAGAATTGTCTGACGCAACAAAAGAACTTCTAGTCATTAATACGCCATTTGGTTTGTTCCAGTTTCAACGATTGCCATTCGGTATTGCCAGTGCTCCTGGCATATTTCAACGTCTTATGGAAGAAGTAACCGCTGGAATACCGAACTGTGCAGTTTATTTAGATGATATAATCGTAACAGGTCGAAATAATAAAGAACATTTGAATAATGTTTTCAAAATTTTTCAACGTTTGGAAGAATACGGTTTGACATGTAAAAGCGAAAAATGTAGTTTTGCGCAAGAGCAGGTAGATTATGTTGGACACGTAATCAATGTGAATGGATTAATGCCCAGAGGAAAACGTGTAGAGGCAATCAAATTGATGCCGCGTCCTCGTAATATTCAAGAAGTTGAAGCTTTCATTGGAAAAGTTAATTATTATAACAAATTCATTAAACAGTTTTCCATAATAGCTGCTCCTTTAAATGAACTAAGGAAAAATAATGCTGTGTTTAAATGGACAGCATATCATGAAGATGCTTTTCAAGCATTGAAGAATGCTATGATCAAAGCTACGGAACTCGTTCATTATGATGATAAGAAGCCTATAGTGTTAGCAGTAGATGCATCTAAGTATGGAATCGGCGCAGTAATTTCATATCGTTATGCTGATGGTTCAGAGAAGCCAATCGCATATGCTTCAAAAAAATTAAACAGTAGCCAAGAACGCTATTCTCAAATCGAAAAAGAGGCATTAACAATAATTTACGGAGTGACCAAGTTTAATTAATATCTTTTGGAAGATGTTTTGAATTAATAACTGATCATCAAGCGTTGACAACACTGTTTAATCCGGGTAGAAAGTTGCCAGTGATGGCGTTGTATCGCTTACAGCATTGGGCTATTGTACTTCAAGCATATGAATACATTATACGGTTCAAAAGTTCATCTCAGAATGCTAACGCTGATGCTCTTTCCAGATTGCCGTGTGGGGATGACATACAATTTGATAGAAAGGAAGTTGTGATGTTAGATGATGTCGATACTGTTTATCAAAATGCTGTGGATCACCTTCCAGTAAATGCAACATTAGTAAAGGATATGATTCCTAATGACAACACTCTTCAACGTGTCACCAGATATGTACAAGATGGTTGGCCTGAACAATTGCCGAAATCTGAAGGTAGTATCAAACCGTACTTTAATCGCAGATTTTGCTTATCATTTCAGAATGGAGTGTTACTTCTTCAAGCTGAATATACTAGAGTGGTGCAACCGAATGCACTGCAATCTCAAGTATTAAATTTGTTACACGAGGGTCATTGGGGTAAAGGTCGTATGAAACAGATGGCAAGACGATATGTGTGGTTTCCTCTTATTGATAAAGCCATAGAACGTATTCATGATGATTGTTCATCTTGTCAACAAGGTGCAAGTCAACCAAAGCGAGAATTTTCTGCATGGCCAGAATCTAGTAGGCCGTGGGAAAGAGTTTATTTGGATTTCGCGGGTCCATTCTTTAAACGTATGTGGCTCATAGTTGTGGATGCATATTCAAAATTTCCATATATTGTGGAACTATCAACAATAACAGCTGTAACAACTATCGAAGGTCTTCCGTGCACTATTGTGACAGACAATGGAACACAATTCACGTCCAATGAATTTTTAAAGTTTTGTGAAATGAACGCAATTCAGCATCTCACGTCTGCTCCTTTTCATCCGGCTTCGAATGGGTTAGCGGAAAGCTTTTAAGAGCTTTTAAGGAAGCAGTAACAAAAATTATGAAAGAGGAACAACATATTGACAAAGCGTTGTATAAATATCTTACAACGTATAGAACTACTCCAAACTTAACAACTGATAAATCGCCAGCAAAGTTGTTACATGGGCGGCGTTGTTCCCGAAAGTTATGGAGACTATGAAAACTCAAAATAGAAGCAAATTCGGAGTTGGAGAGAAAGTGTTAGCTCGTAATTATTCGGGATCGCATAAATGGATCAGGGGCGTGATACAGAAATTGCTGGGAAATAAAATGTATTTTATTGAAACTGAAAATAGATACATAAAACGACATCAAAATCAAATACGTCGAAATTTGTCGTCATCGCATTCAAATCAGCTTAGGGCAGATAATATTGATATTGATTTAGATTTCGGTATTCGGACACCACCGGTTGAGGAAACAACAATTACTACTGGATCCGACCCGGAACATAGTCAAACAGAGAAAGACGACAAAATGGGGACCGATGAAACAATAATCACTACTGGATCTGACTTGAAACAAAATCAAAGAGAGAAAGACGACAAAGCGGAGTCCGACGACAGATATGGATCCACAGACACTGATCAGTTGCCAGTTCAATTAAGACGGTCGGTTAGAAGGAGAAGACAACCTGTTCGTTTTAATCTAGAATAAACAAAATTCAATGTCATGTTGAACATTACTTTAGTGGTTTCAAAAATTAGGTCCAAGAGAATGTTGGAAATGTATAATCATAATTGAATAGTAGGCTATTCTTATTTGATTAATTGTATTTAACATTTGTAAAAATTTAGAAATAAATTGACTTTTGACTTCCGATAAGAATAAAGTTAAATTGTAAAAACACAAATTAACAGACGTAGTTGGCGTTCGGAAGCTGTCTCAGGTCTTTGTAGAAAAGCGAATGTAATTAATTTGTGGTCCGCAAATATAGTGCAGTTCCTGCCTTCAATCATATATCTGAAGTACTTAACCGCACTATATAGCAAGGACCTCGCGGTCATACGTACTTCTGCACCTCTGTCAGCCTTTTAGGAAAGAATCCTAATGGTCGCTTTTGTCCGTATACTAGCTGTTGTAGAGCTGCTCTTACTGTGACGTTGCAAGCGTCTACATTTAGTACCACTTTAGCATTTAGAGCCGGTTCACTAACCTCGCAGCATTGACTTAGTCGTTTTTACACATTTCAAATGTTTTTCCGACTTCTGCTGTCCACTCAACTGAAGACTTATAGTTTTTCTTACTACCTTTTATAAACGCGTGCAGAATACCCTGATTCTTTGCACCGTGCGGAAAAAAACACCTGTAAAAGTTGAGTGAAGCGATAAATCTTCTTAATTCTCGTGCTTCTGTTGATTTTTTAAAATTTTTCATTACTTCAATCATGCGCCCCATGAATGTAACCTCTTTCTTATAGAACGCATACTTACCCAAATTGATTAAATCGATTCATTTAAATCGAATGTGGTTATTATTGCTGTCTTAGGCCTATCCTCTTCAGTGACTATGTTTTAGATGTATGCTGTTTTTATGTTGATAGTTAAAATTTTTTTTTGTGTAATATGTTGGTGAAGTCGTGTATGTGGGGAATTGGATATCGGTCTGGCAGTGTTATGGAATATAAATTTCTGTAGTCTTCACACGATCCCCATTTACTACACTTCTTTGCTGCTAAATGTAACGGGCTTGCCCAGTTGCTGTCACTTGGTCTGCAAATTCCTTGTTTTATTATAAATTCGAATTCCTTCGCTATTTCGTATTTCTCCGGATTTAATCGCTGGGGTTTTGCAAATACTGGTTGTCCTTTTGTGACAATTTGATGCTGGACCATTGTGACTTTCCTTTTACTGTTTTTTTATTTAACGTAGCTGGTCCCGCTATTTCTTTTAGCATGTTGTGTACAGGGCTAGCTGCGTCAACAGTACTTAGTTTCATGCAGTGTACCTTTAGTTTTCCGCTGAGTTTTGCGGTTTCTTGAACTGATATGGTTGTACATTTTTCGTGCACCTTTCCTTAAAAGGTAGGAGATAAAAAAAAGATATCACTTCTTTGTACACTTGTTGAACGTCCAACTTTTATTGTCCCTTTGTTCATGTGAATGGTTAGATCTTTTAGCATCTCGATTAGTTCTTTTATTTCTTTTTTCATCTCGACTATTTCGTCTGTTTTGCTATATTGTACTGCTTACACCTTTTCTGTATCTTGCACCTCAATTATTTTATCCGGTACCTTGGTCCACTGTGCTAAATCACCTTCCACCGTTGCTACTATCATTCTAACTGCCACTGGTAATCTCTGCAACCCAGCTCCAACTCTGTTACTAATTTGCACAAACTTTTATGTTCAGACTCAGTGAATTCGTTTATTAAACGTTTTTTTATTTTTTCGTACTTCGATGTTTCTGGTGGGTCTCGTATTAAATCGGTTATGTACTCCAGGTATTTGGATCTAGTCCTGCCACCACGTGATCGAATTTTGTACCATCTCTTATTATGCTAGCGTTTCGAAATTGCGCCTTCATTAGTAGAAAGTAAAGGTCCGGTTGTTTTCGTGAGAAACTTAATGGTTTTATCGACACTGCCTGAGCAGATTTCATCTTCCGCAGGAAAGAAGTCCTCAGCCTGAGTAATAATTTTTTTTAATGCAGTTCAATTTTTTTCTTTTCCCCCATTTGATAGGTAACTTGTCGAAGTGTGGAGGCTTAGTGCTGCAGTGATTCCTTGGATTTCATTAGCGGTGGTGGCCATACAATGATATGCTACCTTCTGACAGGGTTTCCCATGTTAGACAGGCCAGCTGATGAGCAACCACCTAAATCCTACCTGTGTGCATCTGTTTACCCCAAAGTAGGGGTGGCACACAACGACGTCTGTTTTCTCCATGTTAGGGTCTGTCGACTCCGAGTCTTTTTGTGCGTGGGGTGGCCGACTTTATAAAGAAACCCTACAGGGCGGAGGTGGTTTTGTATGACTAATGCCAACTGAAAATTTTAAAGTTAAGGTGCATGGAGTTGGATTCCCAGTACCGGCGGTAGGTGTCAAATGAGAAGAACGCCTAACGTCGAGATCCTGTGACCTCTCAAATTCAAATTCAAATTCAACTTAAATAATTCATACTGAACAGTACTGGAACTTTAAGTAAGCAAGGAACCTTGACTAGGGATGTTAAGGGAAATCAAATCGTATCACAATTTCTGAACTTGTGCATCGATACAGCAATCGACGATGACCCGTTATCACAGGTTAGCAACATCGATGACATCAGTCCTGAATTCAAAAAACTACTACTTGATCCTCCTCAGACCTCCTCATCCAAGGCTTTAAAACCGAAAATGGAGTCGTAGAATGTAGTAACAAAGAAGCAAAAGGTCAGAAATGGCTACAAGCCAGAAATGATGTACCAGGTGTAAACTAATTATTAATAGGAAAGTAAAAAACATTTTATTCAAAGTATTGGCCATTGCTTTCTACACATTTTGACCACCTTTCTGGCAATTTGTGGATACCACACTAGGGTGGCTCAGAAAAACTAAAATGCGATTTTTAATGAGCGCACCCCCTAGGAATATGCCATTGACCAAAAAAATGATATTCCCAAAGTTTTAAAGCAATAGGATTAAAAATGACGTTGCGCCACTCGAGCAAAGTTGGGTTTTCAGGACAAAAAACAGTAATTTTTCAATTCAAGGTCATTTTTATCTTTGTTACTTGTTTCAACACTTATTAATATATACTCATTTGAAAGATAATTAAAATATCTTTTTAATAAGATACTGATGAGCAAAATCGGTTAAAAACTATGCGCAAAACACAATAATTAGTTCAGCGACTGTGCTCTGTTTTCTATTTCATACCTTTTAGATGGCATGCACAATGCAATCGAAAATATTTACAAGAAACATAAATAAAAAATAAAAATTAAACATTTCTACTTAATAATTTATATACATATTTAAGTAGAATTAAAAATGTAGTCAAAACTAGAATTTTTCGAAAACAAAGAGAAAATGGTCGTACAGGGAGTATGACTGAAGTTAATATTCTTTTAGCAAACGAAGCAAAAGCGGCACAGGAAGTGGTTGATAGATTTTACCTCCTCCTCATCTTGGCAACTCCTGTATAATCCACTTGTTGGAACTCGCCACCGTTGGAGCATAGGCGCAATGGCACAGTGCTCCTGCACACGAACTGCAGGTTTGCTCAAACCTTGAAGGCTTTTCGTTTTATTTTTGTCCAACTTAGGCCATAAGATTCTAGCGACCTTACAGTCTTCGCGGTTAGTTTATAAATTGTTAGTCACCGTATTGATTCCCTCTATTATCCTAAACAGTTTACATATCGGTGTATGTATTGAGAGGTCGGCCTCTCCTGTATGCAATTCAGAACCTCTTCTGGCCATCTCATCTGCTAGGCCATCTCATCTGCTAGTTCATTCCCTTCAATATTGCTATGTCCAAGTATTCGAAATGTACTATGTCCAACAAAGAGAGACCTTATGATGTTGGATGCTCACCAGTGATGCGAGTATCTTGGAATTTAGATTCAATTGTTTTCAGTGCGGCCTATCTACAAAAATCGTGATATTCGAAGGACGAATTGTACTTTGTTGTTTAATGTTGACATCTTTCTCGATAGCATATATCTCGCCGTGAAAGACGCTGTAAGTAGCAGGGATTCGGTAGCACTGTCTTATCTGCATATCTTTCGAGAAGATACCTGCTCCCGTACCGCCTTCCATCTTTGAGCCATCTGCGTAGATAGTAACTGTAGAGGTACCGGTCACAGATCCAAGCTTCCAGCTATCTATCTCTGGTTAGATAAAGAGTGGGAACCCACTAATGAAGTTATTTTCCTCAAAGAACCTTATTGATTTCGTGACCGAAGAGATAACAAATTTTTTTGATCGTTTTTGCCTATCTAATAGTTTTATCAGTTTCGATCCATCGCCATGGATGGAGACGCAAGATTATAGAGATGCACTTGAACTC